GTAAATATACTTCAATGGAACAAGTAGTGCAGTCGGATTAGATTAGACTTTTTTCGGGCACTAAATAGATGAAAGTAAAATTTTTCATAATTAATTTGGTTTTTAATTCCAAATATTCATAACTTTTTATTCATTCCCATTTGCTATGCTAAACGGGCTCTTGCCAGATTCTAAATACATTTTTCTTGAGACGTCGGAGCAGAGACAAGTCTTGTCTCTGGTCGGAGAGACTTCTCTGATACTGTATTTTACTCGTAAAAAGTTATACTACAACGTACAGTAAATGACAATTTCATTACTGACTGACCGAAAAAAGTTAAGATACCATTTTCTTGAAATAAAACGAAATTAATTATTGAAAATTAACAAAACGCTTAAATCGAAGGTTTTTTTTTTCAATTCTTGAGTAAACTAATGAACGGATTTTAATGTAGTTTATCTGATATCACATGTATTTTTAATAATTGAAAAGAGAATAAAACTTTTTTCAATAGCATCAACGGTTCAACAGTTATTCACAAAAAATGGGTTGTCGCACTTTCTTTAATTATGTATAAATAATTGTTTCTAAACAATGTTCCACTGCCGGAAATCGAGCACAAACTATTGTCTGAATATTCTGACATCCTTCCGAACAACTTCCAATATTATTTGCATACTACACATGCTATCTCTCTCCAACCCACGGACACATGATAAGATTTTTAAAACCCTTTGAAACAACTCATCTCGACACCTTTACCTTCGAAAAGTGCAAATTCCTAACAATAATAGATAGTTTTTCTAAATACGCTCAAGCCTATCAATTGAAATCCCTACATTCAGCTTCATTCAGCTTCCTACATTCATGGAATTAAGTAATGTTTCTAGACACAAGAAGATGTCTTCAATTTTATGGCAAATATGGATTTTTTACTGACATTATTTGGTTTTCAATTGGAATTTGGTATAAATGGAATAGAGTATAGACTTTTCCAGATATTAGAGGAATTGCGATGTAAAATATTACTGCAATTAGTGTATTTTATTATTATTTTATTATTAGTGCAAAAAAATATCAAATGTGTAGGTAGCGTCCGAACACTATTTGATAACTGAGAAACTGCGCAACGCCGCCCTCGATCGGTTAATTCCGCATCTAATC